GCAGTAGTCAGAACAGAGCAGGGTAACACTGCATGGTTCAAAATAGGGAAGGGTGTACGCCAGGGATGCATCCTGTCTCCATACCTTTTCAACATGTGTGCAGAGCAGATTATCCGAGAGGCTGGGCTCTATGAGGAGAATTGTGGCATCAGGATTGGTGGAAGATCTATTAACAATCTGCGTTATGCAGATGACACAACCCTGCTTGCTGAAACTGAGGAGGACCTCATGCACTTGCTGCGAAGGGTCAAGGACTGCAGCCTTCAGTATGGAATAAGGCTCAATGTCAAGAAGACAAAGATTCTCGCCACTGGACCAATTGGCAGCGTCAGGATGGATGACGAAGAGATTGAGAGTGTTCACAGCTTCAGTTTGCTCGGCTCCACAGTCAACACTCTTGGCACCAGCAGTCAGGAAATCAAAAAACGTATCGCGATGTGAAAGTCTGCTAGTAGGGACCTCTCTAAGGTACTCAGGAGCAACAGTGTCTCTCTGGAGACTAAGGTGCGCCTGATACAGGCCATGGCATTTGCAATTGCTTGTTATGCATCAGGGAGTTGGACAATGACTAGGGAGGACAGAAGGAGAGTGGATGCCTTTGAGCTGTGGTGCTGGAGAAGGGTACTGAATGTACCCTGGACTGCCAGGAAAACAAACAGATCTATCTTGGAGAGGATTAAACCAAGTTACTCCTTGGAGGCAAGGATTCTGGGGCTTCATCTGACATACTTTGGACATGTTGCCAGGAGGGACGGGTCCTTGGAGAGGGACATCATGCTTGGGAGGGTGGAAGGACAACGCAGGAGGGGAAGACCCTCTATGAGATGGATTGATTCGGTGACTGGGGTAATCGGGATGGGTGTGTCAGAGGCGGTGCAGTTGGCGCAGGATAGAGCAGGGTTTAGGACTGTTGTGCATAGGGTCGCTATGAGTCGGAAACGACTCGACGGCACATAACAGCAACAACAACATGGTATATTTTGAGTTAATCTTGGTATAGGTAAGAAATTTAGGTCCAGGGTTTTTAAAAAAAATATTTTATTGTGCAAAGGACTTCATAGCGGTTTAGATTCCATTCAACAGCTTCCACATTGTTCAGTAGTATTGGGTACTCCTTGCAATGCAAACCATTCTCAGTATTTTCATTTTAGTTCATCCGTCAAGGTTATTTTATTGCAATTTCAACATCACTTTAGGAAGGTTATCTTTTCTCTATGGAAATATTTTCACATCTTTTTGGATGGTCAAAATGGCTACATTTTTAAAGTTTATTTTTATATACTCTATTCTGCTCTTTTGATCTATGACTCTATTCTTTTACCAATGCATGTTTTGTTTATTGTTGCCTTGTACAGAGTCTTAAAATTGAATAGCATGATTTCTTCAACTTTCTTTTCAAAACAACCTTAATTTTTTTAAATTTTATTTTTATTGCAATTTTAATGAAGATTTACAGAAAAGTTTTATTTCATTCATTCATTGTTGCACATTAAGTCCTCTACTCCTCCACGTAAAGTTTAGAATCAACTTGTCTACATCTAAAAATCCTGATATTTCATTAAATATTGCACTAAATCTGTGGATCACCTTAGGGAGAAATGAAACCAATTTCTTCTTGGTAGGTCATAGACACTTCATTTGGATAGTTGTCATGTCTGGGCTGCAACTCACTTCATTTGCATAGTTTAGGGTACAATCGCTGTAAATGGAATACCGATCACAGGATAGTTTAGGGTACAATTTCTGTAAACTGAATACCAATCACAGGACAGACTGCAGCTCAGGACCAGACAAAAATTCAAGGTGTTTACTACTTACCCAGAAAATGTCAGTTAGCCTGGATAAATGTAATAAACCCTCTAGAGTAGAAACTGTGGGAGTTCTGGCGGCCTAGTGGGTAGAGTTGTGCTGTCAAATCAAAGGCAGGTGGTTTGAATCCTCTGGCTGCTCCATGGGGAAAAAAACATGAGCAATCTCCTGTGTGATTTACAGCCTCTGAAAACCCACTGATTGGAGAGTCAGTTATGAGTCAGCTCTAACTTGATAACACATAATGATAACAATAAAAACAAGAGAGTACAAACTAGGGCAAGGTAACTCCTCATAGGCAAAAAAAATCTCTCAAGTTGTTTATCCAAAGAACTAATGTGAAAGGCCACATAAAGGAACTCATTTCACCGTATAAGTAAAGACTGAGGTACTGTTACAGATTTTAAGAGTAATAAGAGTATATTTGTAATACATATACTCCAGAAAAGGCTCATCTGTGATATATGTGTATAAATCCATAAAGAGACAACTTGACAAAAATGTGCATTATTAGTAATTAGTGAAGTGAAATTGCAATGAAACGGCATTGCCAGCATACACAGGAAATTTTAAAATCTTACAGTATCATGTGCTAGCATATTTGGATAATGGAACCTGCCATATAATGTTGTTGAGAATGTCAGTTATATAACCATTTGAAAAACAATTTGTTATTATCTAGTAAATGTCTCAGTAGTTGCCTATCGGAGTATATAAGCCCAAGAAACTTGTACATCTGTGTGCTGGGAGACCTGTATAAGAATATTCATAGCAATACAATTCACAACAGCCCTAAATTGGAAACTAAAGACAGATCATATAAACCAGAGATAAAGAGCATCGTGAAATAGCCACCTTAGATCTTGATGGTTTTAGTTCAGGCTTTTCTTCCTACTGAAGTGCAACTGCAGTTTGTATCTTTTTCATAAATTTTTTTTGTTTTGTTTAAGCTTATGTGAGCAGATTTTATGTTTCTTGCAATCACTAGGGATTTGGTTGGGAGGAAAAAGGTGAAGTATTTTTTTTTTAAATTAAAGGAGACTTAAAAGATACCTCACCCAATTGCAATATGAGGACCTTATATGAATTATAATGTAAACACAGCAAAGCCCAACTTTTAATAGTCAATAATTTCTTCATAAGGATCATTCCAAACCCAACTGTACCTCTGGCTCAGGATCTTATGAGGTTGCAGCCAAGTGGCCAGCCAAAAGCTCCATTTGAGGGAGAAGAATCTGCTTTTCCATTCACTCAGGCGTCTGTTGACAGAACATAGACCTGCTCACATGCTTACTCATGTGCTTGGCTGGCGTGCCTGTGTTCCCTACCATCTGGGCCACTCCTTTGAAGGCTTGATGGTGTTCAGACATGGCAACTGGCAGGCTTGATTATAATATACGTGAGGTTGTATGCAAAATGAAAATGTAAGGCCTCTTGTTAAAAATTATTCCAAATTCCAAAATGTTACAGCACAGCCTTAAACCAAATGTTGCATCCTTCTAGGCAAGGTCATCTTCTAAGCCCTAAGGTTCTATGTGACTGCACAAGTTGCACTCACACAAAATAATCTCAGGAAAACAGTGATCTGAATGAGATAGAGCCAGAGAAGCATCAGTGCAAAAGCCATAGTGGTTTAATAGTGGTCATGCTGAACCATGAACTTCTCAGATGTGATGATAGTATTGTGGCTAAATGTAAGAGAGGAATCTTTTAGAGATACATGCTAAAATTGATACAAATAATATTATTTTTATATGCGATTTACTTCAAAATAATAGGTGGGAAAGAAGTTGGGTCAGCGATGAAACAAGACTGGCCATGAGCTGACCATTGTTGAGTGGCTCTGAAATAGGATGAGGACACCATCATAATCCAGTTGCTGGATTATGTAATCTTAATCCAGGTGGATTATGCCAACTGGATCAAGGATGATGCTGTACTAATCCATTTGTTTTGAAAAGGATGATGATGCAGTTGCTTCCAAATTCTTAGGCTGCTTCCTGGAAAAGAAAGGTAAGTACTAAAGAAAGAGCTAAAAAAAGAGGTTGGGATGAGTGGTACACAGAAGGGAGACAGCGCAGGCTAACTTTAAGTTCACTCAGTGAAGTGTGCTTCTTGTCTTGCTCCTCAGCTTTGTCTTCACTCCTGAAAGATTCTCAGGGACCTTTTGCTTGATTCAGAGGGATAGGGATCTTGTTCTTAGCCGTTGGAATCAGAGGTCTTATTGCTGTGATGTTTGTGTTCCATTATTAGCATTACAATCACATAAAATATGTTTCAGTAGATAACTTAAAATATTGTTGTTGTTCTTGTTAGTGCCATTGAGTCATCTGTGACTCATAGCCACCCTATGTACAACCCTAAACCCTGCTCTATCCTGTGCCAACTTTATTGTCTCTGGCACACCTACCCCCATTACCCCAGTCACTGGATCAATCCAATTCATCCAGAGTCTTCCTCTCTTGCACTGTCCCTTCACTTCTAAGCATGACGTCTTTCTCCAAGGACTGGTCCCTCCTTGCAACATGTCCAAAGTATGTCAGATGAAGCTTCAGAATCCTTGTTTCCAAGGAGCAGCCTGGTTTCACCCTCTCTAGGAGAAACCTATTTGTTCTCTTAGCAGTTCATAGTACTTAGAATGTGGATGTTAAATAAAGAGTATTGAGAGTACCATGGACTGCTAGGAAAACAAACAGATTCATCCTGGAAAGGGTTAAACTGGGTGGCTACTTGGAGGCAAGGATTCTGAGGCCCCGTCTAACATACTTTGGACATGTTGTAAGGAGGGACCATTCCTTGGAGAGGTACATCATGCTGGGGAGGGTGGAGGGACAGCACAGGAGGGCAAGGTCCTCTATGAGGTGGATTGATTCAGTGACTGGGTTAATCGAGATGGGAGTGTCAGAGACAGTGCGATTGCCACAGGACAGAGCAGAGTTTAGGGCCATTGTACATAGGGTTGCTATGAGTCGCAAGTGACTTGATGGCACATAACAACAACAATAACATACTAAATTAGGGATCAAAGGAGGTAATAAAAGGCATGAAGCATTGAATCCCAAGTGGTATCATTATCCGTATTTAGCTAGCTATATACATAGATCATTTTTACTTAAAATATTCCTTGCCGTTTTTATTTGACTTATAAAAGCCAAACTACCTTTTCTTACTTAAACTATCTTGCTTTTCAGCCCTGATGTTTAGTTTGCTGGGAAGGCAACTGATTCCTCCTCTCAATATCGCTTATGCAGCTTTCTGTTCTTCAGTATTTTATGTAATTTTTGGATCATGTCATCAAATGTCTCTTGGTGAGTTCAACACTAGCAGCACAGAAGGCATATAAGTTTGCAACTCAGTCTTTGACTTGTTGCTAAAGAATCCAGTTTAAAGCTGTCTTTAAGATAGAAAGAAGGCAGGCCGAAGATATACATTCTATCCATTCTATCTCAGTGTTAGGAGCTCTGGTGATCTAGTGGCAAGAAGCTGCACTGCAATCCTGAAGACACGCAATTTGAGGCCACCAGCTGCTCTATGGGAGAAGGATGGGCAATCTCCTCCCGTGTGAATAACTGCCTTTGAAAACCCACAGAGGCTCAGCTATGGGTCATTTCTGACTCTATGGTAAATAAAAAGAAGATGTTTTCCAAAGAAATTAAAGGAAAGGTTTCGATTGAAATCTAACTGTCCTTAGTCCATCAGATTCAGAAACTCCCTACATCCCAGAGTGGACTCCTCTTTCTGATGGACTCAAAATAACCGAACGGTGGGTGTTCACTTCTAATGCACTGTGTCAGTTTATTAATTTACAGGGAGAAAACACTGTCATAGTAATTCACACACTGAGGCCCACAGAATGAGCACTTTCTTTCCCTGAGTCAAAGTCCACTGACAACTTATTAAAGGGAAATGACACTTACATGTACATATTACCAGTATGAGGACTAATTGAAATATTTGGAATGGAGGGGTGTTTTTTTATGTAGTAAAACCTTTGTGATGCTAGGTATTATTTGCTTGGGTTTGTGGTGTGTTTTGTTGTTTTTGTTTTTTTCCTTTTAATCATTTCACTGCCCGCTCACTTTTTGCCTTTTCTGAGAAAAGATACGGTAGCTGAGTTTGAACCCCATTTCCCGTGAATTACACTTTGAAGCCCATTCCATATGCTCATAATATAAAAAGACTAATACCCAGACCTTCATCACCATAGGCTCTTGTTCATATGTTATTTCTTTAAATTCCTCTGTATCTGCCAATTCCTTTCTATATAATGACTCCATATATTCCTTCCATCTTCTTTTAATACTTCCTGGATCATTTAATATTCTGCCCAAAGCATCCTTGATTACAGCAACTCTAGGTTTGAATCTGTTCTTCAGTTCCTTGAGCTTAAGAAATGCTGAGCGAGTTCGGCCCTTTTGATTTTCTGACTCTAGCTCCTTGCACATTTCATTGTAGTATTTTGCTTTGTCATTCCGAGCAGAGCGTATGGTGATGAAGGAAGAAGTTCAAGCTGCTTTGAAGGAAATAGCAAAAAATAAGGCCCCAGGAATAGATGGTATACCAATTGAATTATTTCAGATAACAGATGTCACCCTGGATGTGCTCACCAAGTTGTGCCAAGAAATCTGGAGAACAACCACTTGGCCAACTGACTGGAAGAGATCCATATTTGTTCCCATTCCAAAGAAAGGTGACCCAACTGAGTGTGGAAACTACAGAACAGTGTCATTGATTTCACATGCAAGCAAGATTCTGCTGAAGATCATCCAAAAACGATTAGAACAGCACATCAGCAGAGAACTGCCAGAAGTCCAGGCTGGGTTTAGAAGGGGTCGTGGTACTAGGGATATTGTTGCTGATGTTAGATGGATCTTGGCTGAAAGCAGAGAATACCAGAAGAATGTCTATCTGTGTTTCATTGATTATGCAAAGGCATTTGACTGTGTGGATCACAACAAACTGTGGCTGACTCTGAGAAGAATGGGAATCCCAGAACATTTAATTGTGCTAATGCGAAACCTGTACTTGGATCAAGAGGCAGTAGTCAGAACAGAGCAGGGTAACACTGCATGGTTCAAAATAGGGAAGGGTGTACGCCAGGGATGCATCCTGTCTCCATACCTTTTCAACATGTATGCAGAGCAGATTATCCGAGAAGCTGGGCTCTGTGAGGAGAATTGTGGCATCAGGATTGGTGGAAGATCTATTAACAATCTGCGTTATGCAGATGACACAACCCTGCTTGCTGAAACTGAGGAGGACCTCATGCACTTGCTGCGAAGGGTCAAGGACTGTAGCCTTCAGTATGGACTAAGGCTCAATGTCAAGAAGACAAAGATTCTCGCCACTGGACCAATTGGCAGCGTCAGGATGGATGACGAAGAGATTGAGAGTGTTCACAGCTTCAGTTTGCTCGGCTCCACAGTCAACACTCTTGGTACCAGCAGTCAGGAAATCAAAATGCGTATCGCGATGGGAAAGTCTGCTAGTAGGGACCTCTCTAAGGTACTCAGGAGCAACAGTGTCTCTCTGGAGACTAAGGTGCGCCTGATACAGGCCATGGTATTTGCAATCGCTTGTTATGCATCAGAGAGTTGGTCAATGACTAGGGAGGACAGAAGGAGAGTGGATGCCTTTGAGCTGTGGTGCTGGAGAAGGGTACTGAATGTACCCTGGACTGCCAGGAAAACAAACAGATTTATCTTGGAGAGGATTAAACCAAGCTACTCCTTGGAGGCAAGGATTCTGGGGCTTCGTCTGACATACTCTGGACATGTTGCCAGGAGGGATGGGTCCTTGGAGAGGGACATCATGCTTGGGAGGGTGGAGGGACAGCGCAGGAGGGGAAGACCCTCTATGAGATGGATTGATTCAGTGACTGGGGTAATCAGGATGGGTGTGTCAGAGGCGGTATGGTTGGCGCAGGATAGAGCAGGGTTTAGGGCTGTTGTGCATAGGGTCGCTATGAGTCGGAAACGACTCGACGGCACATAACAACAACAACAACAATACCCAGACCACCAAGATTTATTCTGTGAGTTGTGAAGCCACAGTTCTTGTCTTGTTCTTTCTTGCTCTGTCCTCTCAATGGCCACTTCCAAGTGCTAAGACAATGAAAAGTCAGACCATGTCTTGTTACTATCAGTTTACCTGGAATTAAAATCTCATCTTTGCCTAAACTTTCTGCTTCTTTCATAGGTTTCTTCTTTCTTGTGAGTGCTCTGATGATCAATGTCCTGAAGGTGAACCCATTCAACAGTGGTCACCTGGTATTGGGAACTTTCATCAAGGAAGACTTTACTAATCCCGAGTTCATTATGGACTATAGCAGATCCTTGAATGTGGTGGCATCCACGACTTTCCTGGCTGGAATTATTCAGGTAGGATTTGGATTTCTGAACCTCAGAAGATGAAATAAATAATGGGACTAGAAACAGACCCCTTTTTCTAATTGTTCTTATGATCTGTTCTGATAATACATGTAACTAACTGGAAATAAAATGCAGCCCGATGTGTAGGACACAGCTAATGTACTGAAATGCATACAGTAGAAGAAAGGAAACATTTTAGCCACATCCAGGTCATGGTCTTTGCAATCACTTGTTACGCATCAGAGAGTTGGACAATGACTAGGGAGGATAGAAGGAGAATTGATGCCTTTGAGCTGTGGTGCTGAAGAAGAGTATTGAATATACCATGGACTGCCAAGAAAACAAACAGGTTCATCTCAGAGAGGGTGAAGCCAGGCTGCTCCTTGGACACAAGAATTCTGAGGCTCTATCTGACATACTTTGGGCATGTTGCAAGGAGGGTCCAGTCCCAGGAGAGGGATGTCACGCTTGGAAGGGCAGAGGGACAGTGCAAGAGAGGAAGACTCTCAGTGAAATGGATTGATTCAGTGACTGAGGTAATGGGGATAGGTGTGTCAGAGCCAATAAGACTGGCACAGGATAGAACAGGGTTTAAACCTGTTGTACATGGGATCTCTGTTTGTCGCAGGCAACTCGATGGTACACAACTACCACCACCACCACCACCTAGAGTAGGATGCTAACATAAATCCTGATGCCACATCTTTCATGGGTAAGAAAAAGCACCCTGGCTAATTAAAGACAGTTGCCATTTATGAGGTGGAAAGAAGGAAGTGCATGAAGATTGAGTGATACATATTTGCATCTATTACTATTTTAATATATTAACCAGGTGTTTCACATGTATTATGTAATTTAATCTGTATCAAGCCAAGTGTTGAGTTTTATTCACATTTTATATATGAGGACTGAGGCTCAGAGAATTTGAACAACTTGTTTAAATAAGGTCAGCCACTGAGTGGCAGGACCAGGATTGAGCATGGATTCTCCAAGTCCAGGAACCCTGCTGCTTCTTCCAAATATGAAGGAGCTCATGGATGAAATGGTTGACATGGATTAGAAGAAATGACAACAAAGACCTCATGCATAAGCACAGATACAGGATCATCCAGCCACATAGAAGGCATGAAACAGATTGGCTTTTACTGCAGTAGAAGAGAGTTTTAGGTAGTAATGATAAGAAATTGAGGAAGATGTAGCACTTAGCTGATTAAAAGCTTGAAAATAGATCTGTCATTCCAAATTTGGTTTCTGAGAGCATCTAGAGCAGTAGAGACCGAAGTGGTGACAATAGTAACTTCAAGACTTCTGTTTTATTATTTTTCTTCTTCTTACTGATTAATCGTCATTGTACTTGCCAGGATGTTGGTTTTAGTTTTAATTTTATTTTGTTTTGTTTTTAACCTGTCCTCTTAAAGGCATTGGGGCTCATCCATTTTCCATAAGTTTTCTAATTGCATTTTTATTATGAAAACAATACATTTCTTTTAAAATTTTATATCATCTATCTATCTATCTATCTATCTATCTATCTATCTATCATCATCTTTTAAAAATTATAGCTCAGTAGAGAAAGAAACAGAAGAATTATGGAAGAGTCCTAAACTCACTTTTTTAGGTTGAAAACATCTGTTTTGGAGAAGGGGCTAGAGTCCTTTTGAAGATGTCTAATCTGTGTGTCTCCTGGCTTGGTAACATTCTGTCCCGTTCTCTGATGCTCTTCTCAATCTGTACCCCTCGCAGCTATGCATGGGCATGCTAGGCTTTGGTTTCATCGCCACCTACCTTCCGGACGCGTTCATCAGTGCTTATCTGGCTGCCACAGCTCTACACATCATGATATCCCAGCTGACCTGTGTCTTCGGGATTATGATTGGTTTCCACTCCGGTCCAATCTCCTTCTTTTATGTGAGTAATTTCAACTTTCACCCCAAATTACTTCCCTTTGTCTGCAAAGAGGTGTCTGCCCAGCTGGAAAGATACTTACCTAGTCTCAAAAAAGTAACACATTCTACCATCATCACAAAAAAGTAACACGTAAGAGGGTTCTATACATATTTTCATGTCTGCTAGATTTGAGGTCTTGGTTAATTGCAGCGGCCTGTTGGACCATGCTCTAGGTGGCATGAAACATTTCAAATCCACCCTTTATACTCGCATGATTTACATTAAAATTTTATTTATAAAATGAATAATGGTGATGATTATATGACAAGGCAAAGATAATTAATGTCACTTAAAAATAGTTCAAATGGTAACCATCCTGATATATACAGTGAAACTTGAAAGAACCAGAATTTAACAAGACTGCCTTGATTTTTCCAGATCTCACTAATTTTCCATCTTTGGCAAGGTTCAGTCTTACAACTTTTCTGTCAGTTTTTATTAGTGGAAAACATATGAGTTTTCCTTCTCTGAATGGTTTCTACCCTATGCACATTCTGACTTTCATAGGTTTTCCTGTGTATTTTACCATACTAACATTTTGGCCTTTAAAATATTGTGTCTGACATAATTCTTCCCAATTGTTGTTGAGTACCATCATGTGGAAACTAATCTTACAACAACAGTTCTTTCCAATACATACTACATAACAGGATATTTCCTAGAGCAGCTAAAGAATATATAATATTAACTTGTCCCTGAATAGAAGAACTCTTGTGGCCTAGTCCAGAGGGAGTTGTGCTCCTAACCCAAAGGCCTTGCCTCTCCAGTAGTTCAAATCCACCAGCAGCTCCCTGGGAGAAATAGAGCCAGCCTCTGCCTGTGTCATATACAGCCTTGTGGGAACTCAGCTTACAAATCAGTTCCAACTTGACAGTGAGTAAGTTTGAGTCTTTGGATGTAAGAATGAGTGAAGAACAAAGCTAAATTTCAGCCTACAGCAATCCCCTCTCCATCAGAGCAGGACTGCGCTTTCTGGGGTTTTCAGTGGCTGATTTTTTTAGAAGTAGATTGCCAGAGCTTTCCACTAAGATGCTGCTGGGTCGACTCAAACCTTCAATCTCTTGGTTAGCAGCCAAGCACATTAACTGTTTATACTGCCAAGGGACTCCAGAAAATAAATATGATCTAATACAATCAATGATAAATATGCCAAAACCCAAAACTTACATATCATTTCAGTTATACTGAATTAGATAAAGCATAGAGTATTTAATGATACAGAATGCATAAAAAGAAGGTGGAAAAAGTACAATGAGTCAGAAAGAACTGGTTGACACAGACGAATTCCATGAAACAATATATGATTGAGAGGCAGTGGTGATGAAAGAGGAAGATTAAGCTGTTCTGAAGGCATTAGCAAAAAACAAGGCTCCAGAGAATTGATGGAACACCAATTGATTTGTTTCAATAGACAAAGGCAGCACTAGATATGCTCACCAGCCTGTGCCATGAACTCTGGAGGACAACCATCTGGCCAACTGCCTGGGAGTGACCCATATTTGTTCCCATTCCCCCCCAAAAAAAGTGATCTGACAGAGTGTAGAATGTATCCAACAATATCACTTAATATCACATGAAAGCAAAATCCTGCTGAAGATTATCAAAAAATGACTGGAGCACTACATCAACAGAGAACTACCAGAAGTGCAAGCTGGGCTTAGAAGAGGCTGTGGTACTAGGGACATCATAGCTAAAGTCAGATGGATTTTGGCTGAAAGCAAAGAGTTTCAGGGGAATGTCTGCATGAGTTTCATTGACTATGAAAAGGAATTTGATTGTGTGGATCACAACAAATTATAGCTAGCTTTGAGAAGAATGGAAATTCCAGAACCCCTGATTGTTTTCATGCAAAATCTATACTTGCACCAGGAAGCAGTTGTCAGAACAGAACAAGTACTTCATGGTTCAAAATCAAGAAAGGAATGCTTAAGGGATGCATCCTTTCTCCATACATTTTTAATCTATATATTCAGAACAGATTACTTGAGAGGCTGGACTCTATGTAGGAGAATGTGGCATCAGGATTGGAGGAAGACTCATCAACAACCTGTGCTATGCAGATGACAAAATCTTACTTGCCAAAATTGAGGAGGACCTGAAGCGTTTGGTGCAGAAGGTCAAGGAAAGTAGCCTCCAATATGAACTGAAGCTCAATATCAAGAAAACAGTTTCTCACCAGTGGGCTATTTGGAAGCATCATGATAGATGGACAAAGGATTGAGATTGTTAACTATTTCAGCTTTAGAAAAATCACACACTAAATTGCATTGGGAAAATCTACTGTCAGACTTCGCCAGAGTGTTGAAGAGCAATGATGTCAACCTAGAGACTAAGGTGTACCTGATCCAGGCCATGGTCTTTGCAATTACTTGCTACACATTGCTGGACAATGCCAAAGGATGACAGACGAAGAAATGATGCCTTTGAGCTGTGGTGCTAGAGAAGAACATTGAACATACCATGGAACGCCGAAAAGAGAAACAGGCTGATCCTGGAGAGCTGCTCGTTGGAGGCAAAGATTTTGAAGCTCCGTCTCACATGCTTATAGCATGTTGCCAGGAGGGGAAAGTCTTTTGAGAAGGACATTAAACTTGGAAGGGTAGAGGGATAGTGCAAAAGAGGAAGACCCAGGATAAGATGAATTGACATAATAACTGAGATAAAGGGAATGGGTATGTCAGAGACAGTGAAACTGACTCTGGATAGGGGTGGGTTTAGAGCTATGTACATAGGGTTGCTGTGAGTTGCAGGTGACTCAATGGTACATAACAACAACAACAACAACAACAACAACATTTCTCCTTTTTGGACATTACAGTTTCTACATTTTAAAAAAATATGTATTTCTCCCCAAAAAATGCTTGCTCTCACTCTTAGAGTCCTACAAAACTTTATGATCAGTAACCCTGCTTAAGGAGTTCTTCTGAAGTAATCGAGAAAGAATGTTATTTTTCTAGATTTAGACAAATATATCCCTTGCTTGATATCTCTGATTTTGTTTTCTTTCAGAATATAATTAGCTACTGTGCTGCACTACCAAAAGCTAATTCCACCAGCATCTTGCTATTTCTAACTGTTTTAGTTGCTCTGAGAATCAACAAATGTATCAAAATTTCTTTTAATCGATATCCCATCGAGTTTCCCATGGAATTTCTATTGGTAGGTTTTTTTTAAATATCTTAAGTTAATGATTCAGATAATTTATGTATCTCTCTGCCACTAATTAAGAAAAAGCTAGTAACCTACAAGAAGAAAGGTTTATTAGAGACTACAATATATTAACACAAAGAATTTTTAAACATTTAAGTTGAATTGTGATAAAACTGAATACATTTAATTTTAAGATTAACATGTAAGTATACTATAATTATTGTCAATGTATTTTGTCTGTTGTATATTTAAAATAATATGATAAAAATATTATTTCCTTATTAAAGTGAGAAGTAGGATCATTATAGAACAATTTGAAAAATATAAAATAAACACATATAACACTAAACCAAATAAAAACTCTTATGTTTGCGCTACCCATAGTGAACTGAAATACTATCAATATTTTTTTTTATTTTTAGTTATTCAGACATTTGTTGTTTCAAGCAAATGTTTATTGAATGAAAATTTAGAAATCATACTTTTTTCATTCAATAGCTCAGAGATATTTTGTCTTATAACAATATTAAATACAACAGATTCATGGAAATAATTAATTGAAATATCTAATCAAGCCCTTAATTATGTTACCTTTCCCTTTATCAAAATATCTATGTATTAATTTTTATTCCACTCTCCCTTCCTTGTCATCCCTGTTAATCCTAGAGATTGAATCTATTTATGTGTAACTTTTCTTTAATTTTTTATTTTAGTGGTCTTATAATTGTCCTTTTGTGACACACTTATGTCACTATATTGTGCAATAGTTTATAAATTCTTGATAATTTTTTAGTGATGCATATGTAAATGTACCATAGTTTCTTTAGCCCTTCTGCCATTGATGGATCCCTGGGTTGTTTCCGATTCTTAGTTCTTATTGTAAATAATACTGCGATAAATATGGGTGTAAGTAGGGCAGTTTGTGTTGACACTTTTATTTCTTTGGAATACATCTACTAGTGGAATTGTTTCTCATTTTGATTGAATTCCAATCTGGGCTGTACCTCAAGTGCTATAACTATCCATGTTCCTCTACTGTTCATAGGGTTTTCATATGGCCAATCTTGTTTCCTAGTCTTTCTTAACCTAGGAGTTCTACTTTGCTAAAACCTGTCCACTATGGGTGACTGTTGTGGCATTTGACACACTAGTGACATAGTATTCAGCCTCACAGCAACCCATAAGGTACCTTAGTTCAGCAAACTGACAGACTAAGTGCTATAATTATTAAAACAATTAATTCCCTCAATATGACAAACTGAAAATTTAGTATTGTACCTCTAATAGCAAATCAGGCATACAAATATCAGATTCAGTGAAAGCCTGCGTAAATGTGGCAGGAGGGTATTGAAAAATTCTGGCTGAGACTCCTGTTTGGCACACTGGGGTTCCAGACATGGATATTAAGGTCACATGATATCTCTGCTGAATCCTTGCTGCTAGTGCTTCACACAGCACTAGCAATCACAATCCGCTGAACTATATAGAAAATACTAACTACGGAACAATATCATTAAAATCACATGCAAGCATAATGCTGCTGAAGATCATTTAAAAAATGGTTAGAACAGTACATAGATAGGGAACTGTAGTTCAAGTAGAATTTAGAAGAGGCTGTGGTACCAGTGATATTGCTAATGTTAAATGGTTCTTGCCTTAAATTATAAAAATACCAGAAGAATGTCTATTTATGCTTTATTGACTATGCAAAGGCACTTGACTATGTGGATAATGACATGTTATAGCTAACGTTGAGAGGAATGGGAATCCCAGAGTACTTAACTGTGCTTGTGTGAAACCTAGACCTAGACCAAGAGGCTGATGTACAAACAGAGCAAGTGAACACTACATGGTTTAAAAATTAAGGCAGGCATCAGGGTAGTTTCCACTCTCCATACCTATTCAATATGTATACTGAGCAAAGTATCCGAGAAGCTACACTCTATAAAGAAGAATTTGGCATTAAGATCAGAGGAAGACTCATCAATAACTTGTGTGATGCAAATGACACAACCTTGCTTGCTGAAAGTGAGGATGACTTGAAGCACTTGTTGCAGAAGATCCAAGAATACAGCCTTTGGAATGGATTGCATCTCAATGTCAAGAAATCAAAAATTCCTACCACTGGACCAATAAGCAACATCATGATAGAAGGAGAAAAGATTGAAGTTGTGAACAATTTAATCTTCTTGGATCCATAATCAACACCCTTGCTACCAGCAGTCAGGCAATCAGAAGACTTATTGCACTGGGAAAGTCAGCACTCAAAGACCTTTCCAAATTACTGAGGAGCAATGATGTTGTTTTGAGGACTGAGGTGTGTCTGATTCAGGCTACAGTCTTTCCAATCACTTGCTACACATCTGAGAGCTGGATGTGAATAAGGATGACAGAAGAATAAGTGATGCCTTTGAGCTGTGGTATTGAGACAAGTACTGAATATCCCTGGACTGCCAAAAAAAACAAGCAAATACAGATTGAGGAAAATCTTTGGATGCAAAGATGTTGAAGCTTCGTCTTACATACTTTGAGCAGTTGCTAAGACAGGCTATTAGTTGGAGAAGAACATCATGCTTGGAAAGTTAGAGGGATTGGCGAAACAGAGGAAGACCTTCAGCCAGGTTAACTGACACAATGACTGCCACAATGAGCTCTAGTGTGTCAGAAAATGTGAGGATGGCACAGGATAGGACAGGTTTCATATCTGTTGTTCATAGAATCACTATGAGTAATAACTGATGGTACCTAACAATAATAACAACTAATGAACTTGAGTATTCATTGGCAATCTGAACGTCTTTTTTTGTAAAATATATATTCATATCCTCTGCCCATTTTGTAATTGAGTTGTCTTTTTATTGTTAAAATGGAGATTTTTTATATGGTGTGAGGTACAAGTCTTATTTTAATCTTTTATAAGTAGGTACACACTTTTGCCATCACTGTTTGCTAAATAGATTATCTTTCCCTCACTTGATGAATTTCATCTCTTTGTCAAAGATCAGTTCTCCATAGGTGCATGGGTTTATTTCTAATTTCTCAATTCTGTTCCTTTGGCCTCTGACCTTTTTGCTGAACAAGGACTGAACTGTTTTAATTAATGTAACTGTATAAAGGGTTTTGAGATCAGAAAGTGTAAATCCTCCTACTTTGCTTTTCTTTTTCAGTAGTTCTTTATATATTTGGGGGGTGTCTCTTTCCTTTCCCTCTTTCCTTTCCATATGAAGTTGATAATTAGTTTCTCAATCTCTTTGAAAAATGGTGACAGGATCTGGATTGGGATTGCATTGTATCTATATATTACTTTTGGTAGTATTGCAATTTTCACAATGTTAAGTCTATTGAACCATGAGTGTGATATGTTTTTCCATTTATGCACTTATCTTTGGCTTTCTTATAACACTGTTTGTAGTTTTCATAGATCTTTTGTACCTCTGGCTATATTTAGTTTAAATGTTTCATCTTGTTATTGTAGAGGAATCCAAATGATTTTTGTATGTTGCTCTTGTAACCAGTCACTTTGCTGGGTTGGTCCATCATATTCAGTAATTTTCTTGCTGAATCTTTGAGATTTTCTATATCTACGATGATATAATTTATAAATGCAGTTTTACTTTCTCTTTGCAAATTTGAATGTCTTTTATTTATTTTTCTTGCCTTATTGCTCTGGTCAAGACATCCAATACACTATTGACTAGAAGTGACGATAAAGGGCAACCTTCTCTGGCCCTCATGCATCAAGGAAATGCCTTCATTCTCTCTCTATTAGAAGTAATGCTGGCAACTGCTTTTGTCTATTTGTTTTTAATTGTGTTGAATAATGTCCCTTCTATTCCTATTTTGTATTTTGTTCAGTGTTTTTATTAGAAATGGATGTTGAGTTTTGTCAAATGCCTTTTTTTTTCATAAGTTGAGGTGATTACATGGTTATTTCCTTTTTTTAATTGATTTAGTGGATTGTTTTTCTTATGTTGAACCATCCTTGCCTACTTGGTATGACTCCTAGTTGATCATGATATTTTTTTAATATATATGATGTTGGATTGGCTAGGATTTTTAGTAGTGTATTTGCCTGGCTTTAGTATAGCAGTCATGCTCACTTCACAGGATAAATTTAGGATCATTTAATCTTTTTCTATTCAAAAATAGTCAAATAGAACTGGTGCCAGCTCTTTTCTGAATATTTAGTAGAATTTATCGGTGAAGTCATTTGGGCTAGGACTTTATTTGATTGAGATTGTTTCTACAACTCATTAAACTTCTTTTTTTTTATAATCTACTGACATTTTTCTATCTCTCTCTGTGTTAGTTTAAGTAAGCAATGAGTTTTCAAAAACCTGTCCATTTCTTCTTCTGTTGTTGTTATGTGCCGTCAAGTCGCCTGCAACTCATAGTGACCCTATGCACAACAGACCAAAACCCTGCTCTAGCCTGTGCCAGTCTCACTATTTCCAACACACCCACCACGATTATGCCAGTCACTGAATCAATCCACCTCACAGAGGGTCTTCCTCTCCTGCACTGTCCCTCTCCCACCCAAGCATAATGTCCTTCTCCAAGGACATGTTTCTCCTTACAACATGTCCAAAATATGTCAGACAAGGCTTCAGAATCCTTGCCTCCAAGAAACAGCCTGGTTTAACCCTCTCCAGAATGAATCTGTTCATTTTCTTAACAGTCCATGGTATATACAATACTCTTCTCCAACACCACAGCTCAAAGGCATTAATTCTTTAGGCTTTCCAACTTGTTGAAATATATTTCTTCATAGTATTATGTTATTATCCTTTTTTATTTCCGTTTGTTCTGTTGTGACACATCCCATTTCCCTCCTTATTTACATTATGTTTGTATTCTCCTTCTTTTCCTTTGTTAGATTTGCCAGGGGCTTGTTAATTGGATTAATCCTTTCAAAGAACCAACTTCTAGTCTTATTAATTCTTTCGATTGATTTTCTCTCTCAATTTCACTTATTACTGTTCTTATCTTCATTATTTCCTTTCTTCTAG